ATCGGCCCTCTCTGCACTACCGGGAGTTACCAAAGTCACTTGCGTGATTTATGAACGCCCTCTGTCGTAGTTTTTCGATATCTGGTTGGACTCTGCACTACCACGGATTAATAGAGTAGCTAGTTACCTAGGAGTCGGTGCAGTAGCGGTTCAAAAGTAGCGATTGACTCCAGCAGTACTGGTGGGTGGTTATCCGTACAAATTGCGTGCTGTGGTGTTGATGGAAATTCAACATTGGAAAGCGCATTTATGTGCCTGGCTGTAGCTAAAAGCGATATATATAGACAAATGTATACATAAGTAATCAGAATGAAAAGAGAAATCGATGAAGCCAAGTCTGTCTGTCTGTGCGTCCGTCTGTCCGTGTACACGATAACTCGAGCAAAAATTTAGATATCTCAACGAAATTTGGTATATAGTTTTCCCTATGTCCAAGGTAGGTTGCTGTTGAAAATGGGCGAAACCGCTTCACCAATCCTTACCAAACTTTGTACGAGCCTTGCTTATGATCCAGCTAAGAAATGTTTTGAAAATCTTTGAAAACCCGGTGCACTTAACAATTCGTAAAAGCAATTAGTTGAAAATTATTTAAATCGGACTAACATTGCACAGACTTCCCGTTCAGATATACGAAAACTCCGATATTTCAACGACTGAAGACGCTAATTTATTCAAGTTAATACCTACAACAATATCTTAACAATAAATAAAGCTGATGCCAGATAAAACTTTGTAGCTTTGTGTGACATTTATAACTTTGCCAACAAAGCGCCAGACGCAAAAGGTATGCCACAATGAACGCCAAGGAAACAAATTTGTACTGCTTTTTTACTCGTCAAAATTGCTGTGGATTTTATATATTTTACTTTAAAATTATTAGCAATGTAATTAAGTTTTATGTTTCTGCGTGATAATTCGAATTTGGACGAAACAATATAAATATTAAACCGGCTGATTGTCAAAGCGCGCAAAAAGATGGGAGTTGACCATCTTTTCGCTTCGCGCTGCAGCTTCAACGATCTATGTGGCATGCTTTGTGCATTTTCATACAATTCATCTTAGCTGTCAAAGCGAATCTGTCACGTAAAGCGAAGCAAACGTTTTATGTGGCATCAGCTTAAGACTGTTATAAACTTGTAAGTATTTTGAAGAAGATTGGAACGATGATAGTTGATAACTGCGCCGGGTATATAAAATTTACTTGTTTTTTTTTTTTTTTTTTAATTTTGTTATGTATCAACGACGTCATCCCAACATTTTAATAAAGTGTTGTGAAGGCAACGTTTTTTTGATTAGTTTTATTGTAAATTTGGTAAATACAATTTGTTTTGACTAATTACATATGTATTTGTCTTTGCTCAAGGGAAATCGCTTTCACTTTGGTCACAAGGTTTTTTATATTAGATGATTTATGGCCAATCTATTGGCATTTTATTATATCACATATGTACATACATATATACATAAAGGGAGTTGAGAAAACAAATCCATTACTCATTATATACATAAGCATATTTCCTCGGTTATTTTGCATTTGTAAACTAAACTTAAGTAAGCGGGTGAATATGAATATTTGTATGTAAATAGTATATACTTAGATGTTTTACTATGATTTTTTGCACAAGCGATATACATATATAACCAATAGTACGATTATAAAGATTTGTCAATAGCTGCGTGCGCAAACCCACTCACGCCAATCAATGAACTCTTTTATTACATATTTACAAACATGTCCACTTTGTACATACATATATACATACTTTGCTGATCTTTTATCACACATGCATGTTAATGTTTACCAGCCAAATTGTTTGCCAATCAATTTACTAACAAAAAGTTTATTGTTTTTATTGTTTCTTCTTTACAGCTGTTTTCAGCCTGCAACGCCAAAACACACAAATGCACAAACTACTCGTACATATCTCCACATCTATGTCACAATGAAGAGTATTATTTCTCACTTTTATAGTAATTATGGCTTTAGTTTTATTTATGTGGTAAGTAGAATTGTTTCTATGCATATTTTATAGCTTGAAATTTATTTGCATCGTTTTACGGGTACCAAACAAGTGCGTACATATGTAAATGTTATCAGTGGCGTTGCTACAGTGAGCGTGAGGGGTGGCCACTTTTTTGGGGTGACTTTCGATCGTCAAAAAATAACAGCTTACGCAAATCTTCACTACGTTTTTCGCCGATTAATAACTGATGTTTGAAAACATTTTAGTCAAGTTATCAATAATATATACATATATATTCATTTATCAATTTTGATAATTTTTAAATGCAAGAAATCTATTGATATGGATACCAATTACTTTCTTACTCTGAGTTTCATCAGTGGATTATTAAATAAAACACTTGGTTAATGGCAAAAAAATTTTACTTTATTACACTGTCAGTATGTATTTCTTCTCTGCTTTGCAACGCCTTTTACTTAATACCACTAGTTTCCCTATATCATAGTAACACTGACACTTCTCTCTACTAATTTCTAAAAATAAGTATTCAAAATCAAATCTTTGTGTTTCAAAATGTTTTGTGCGAATGTCTGTTCATGATATTAACCCGAAAAACTCTGAAGTTTGTTTGTGAAAATGTATACATATTTAGCTGATTTTTTCAGAATCGATAATGGGGGCCATAAATAAGAGATAAATAAAAAAATAGCAACGCCACACAGTGGGGTAATTGATGTCGATATTGCGTATTAATTCAAGTAATGAATTTTAAAATACAAAGAAGGGTTTAGTACCAATTGAAAGTAGATACAATTCTACAATTCTCCATGTGATCAAATATTTGCCCAAACATTTACCGTAGGTGTTCTGATCCCCCCCGAAATGTAGAAATGTAGGATTTTAATTCACTAAAAACTTGGAAAAAGGCAACAAGGCATATATTTTTTAATTTTGTTATGTACTTCCTTAATGTACATTGTGCATTAGCGTGGGCCGAAAATCCGCTTTTTTGATTGGTAATAGCAAAAATATGGTTCATTATGCTTTAAGGAAAATCTGTGTGAAATTTGGAATTTTTTGGTCAATATCCTAGGCTCGCCCAAGTCCACCAAATCAAAGCGGCCTAGCATTGCCATATGGAAACGCGTGCAAAAAACAACAAAAAAACTATCTTAAACAATATATTTCACATCACTTTTTTTATTTTCATGGTTTTCCATTTAAACCCTTTTCTAAATGATACATTTCGATAATATTTCTGATTATATTAATAAATTTGTAGCTACTTACTTTTTTGGTCTACTAAATTTTTTGTAGTTTTTCGCTTTTTTCTAATTCACTTCACTTTGCGATATGATTACTTCGAAATCTTTGACCCAAATATCATGCTTTGTACAGCAGATTTTAACCCCAATATTTCTGCGTCAATAAGCACTCCCATGCAGGGCTGCCAACTTGGCTCAAACCGAGTCATTTTTGGCCCTATTTTACTTCAAATGGCACTTAATTTTTCACTTTGGCACAAAGTGCCAAATTGGCACTTTTGAAAAATAGTAATATTTCAATACATTTTTGGGAAATCCTTTGCGTATACTTCTTTTTTCCAACTAAAATTTTCTAATTTCTATAGTGTATACAACTATTTTATCTTACTTTGGCATTGGTCTTTTCTTTTAGGAATGTTTCTAATTTTAATGCTAAATGGGATAAATTAAAAAGAATGGCACCTTTTTTGGCACTTTTATTTTTCTTTTCTTTTTCAATTTGAAAGTCTTGTAAGTCGATTTTGTCTTAACTAGAAAGGAAAAGTAGGTTTCAGCAGAGAAAATCCAAACAGGCTAAACTGGAAGTGGTTAAGAGATACATAAACTGATGATATACAGAGTTCATCAAAAGTAATCGATTCTCATGATTAGACTGCGGATTTTTATGCAGAAAATGAAACCTAAAAGTATGTACCCCATAATTATAAACAAAATTTTTACAAATATATTTACTTGGATTATAGTTTAATGATAATACAACAAATGATTATGATGATGCAACGGAAGAAATACAGAAGCAATACAATTGATATCATAATATTGTAACCTGAATATTAATTAAAAATCATACATATTTACATTGCGGTGAAACTTGAATATCCACACCGGGTGCCACCCGTGCTAAATACGCCATTGTGTGTTATTGCATCAATACGTGGGAATGCAATTTTCTTAATTTATTTACGGCTTCAACTATCTTTGATTTGGTTGCACAAATCTCCTTTGTTAACATCCGATAGTATATACATACATACATACATATGTATGTTAAAACTGACTAGGTGATTTCTTTCGACCGGTGCGAATAATTTTGCATAAATTCAGAAAACTAAATCTCAACGTTCAGGAAAACTGCTTGGTTTCCCTAGAGAGCATACAATCGGGCTCAAAAACAGTGGTCGGCAAAGCTAACTCACGTGAGCAGTACGCTCATCACAAGCATTCTTTTAAAGCATAGAGAGACGGCAACGTTGATCCGGATTAACGCCGCAATCGATCTGATCAAAATTGTGCCTTGACAGATGGCAGCAATGCGGATTTGCGAGCCGCGAGGTCATAGGTTCGAATCCCACGGCCAGTAGAATACTCATTTATTTTATTTTTATTCATTCAATTATAACTTCTATATTTTTTTAAAGTTGTTTTTAATTAGTTGTTTTTGATAAAAAAAAAATTTAAATAAAATTAAACAAACGAAAATAAAATAAAGTAAAATTAAAAACATAAATCGAACTAGATTAAAAAAAAAATATTAAAGTAACAATAAAAAAAAAAAATTTGGCTATCGCTCCAACCGAGGATCGAACCTGGGACCTGCAGGCTTGTAGATTTACTATATTACAGCTATACTAAAACAGCTAATCGAATAGGCAGCTAAACGGAATGTACCGTAGTAGGATAATTTTAATTTAGAAATTTGCTCGTTACCTCAATCCCCTGAATATTAATAATGGAACAAGATTTGTAGGACAAGTGATGATCAATATATATTAGTTAAGGCACGATAAAGCTAAAAGTATGGTCCATAAGGATGCCTTGATGTAAACAAAGAAAATAGTTTGTCTCCTTTAAATTATGCTGAACTGTATATTTGTTTTACTGTTTTATATTTGGATTTGTTTACCCCGAACGACGTCTGGTGCTCTGCTAGTAAGTATGTAATAAATACATAGGTCCATACAATAACTATTTTGTAAGGAAAACAACAAAATTAGTACTTCTTTCAAAATTTGTCATTCTCACAAGTGTTACTACATACGTTGCATTTAACCTATATGATGTTGTTGTTGCGCTGTCGTTTATAGGTTTTCCATCTTATCTTATAATTAGAAAGAAGTTGACAAACTAGTAACAGCTGATCGCTTTTGAAAATTTAATTATGTTTCCCGAAAAGTATATGAAACGAAGTGATGCAACATTTGGCTTACTTTGCGCATCCTCGAAAAAAATTTTCTCTATTTGCAGCTAAATTACAATTTTTAAAAATGTAAATTATTGCAAATTTCCGTAACACACATAGATAAATTTCTTAAAGTTGACATAGAAGAAGAAGTTAAAGAGATAAATATAGCAATTAAAATAAATTTTCGAAAATGGACGTGGCACCGCAAATTTTTGTTGTAAAAATATGTATAACTTAGTATACGTGTGCAATTAACCTTTTTCAAAACCACTTATATCGGACAAAACTTATGCCTGTGACTGAGGAGACTCCTGTGCACCTGCTTAGCGAATGCGAGGCGGTCGCGAGAAGACGGGAGAGGTACCTGGGCCAATACTGGCCAAGTGACGAATCAATACAATCGCTAATCCCTGGGGATCTCCTCAAATTTTTGGGCTCTCTAGGATTAGATGAGGTACTGTAAATAGTTGAGAGCACAATAGATCTCTTGGTCGCAGTGCATACCTCTATTAATTATCTATCTATCTATGCCTGCTTCCCATATGAAAGAAATTTCAGTTGGCGCAATTGCAATTTTTCTTGCTGTAATAAGAAGTTCACCTAAATTCAAAGAATTCTGTGAGAAAACTATTTCAGTGTACATACAGACAAGATATCCGTGGGATGAAACGATAGGAGTAAATACAAGTACATACTTGATACTTTACGTTCGATACCAAGTAATTTTGGTATCGATACTTTTGAACTAAGTACTGAGTAAGTAGGTATCGAAAAAACATATACTCGTTTCGAAACCCGATACGCAGGCAATTTGTCTTCGGGAATTTTTCTTCTTGACTGGATGAATGTTCAATACAGATGTTTTAACGCGAGGTTAAACTCACTGGGCCAAATTACACGAATGTAAAAATTGCGCGCGCAGAACGACTTGTGAAAGTGGAGAGGAACAGAGGAGGCGAAAGAAATGCGCCAAAATTGCACACCAGGGCCGCTGCGGCAATTTTTGCACGCAATTTTTACTCTCGTGTAATTTGGCCCAATAAGTAACTCTATTAGACCCCGTGATCTCTTGTAGATGTGAAATAGAAAAATTAGGTATTCCAGTTTTAGATACTAGAAAATCATCCATATTTATCTATTTGCATAACGTACTGAATTGCTTTTAAGAATTTATCTTGGTAAAATTTATTCCGTATAATTTTGTTTAATACTCTTCACACTTCCAATTGTATGTGAAATTTTTCGAAATGATGTAATAAGAAGACATTTTTGAAACTATCGTATTTAAATTTTTGGCTCTTAACAGTTGTACATAAGAGTACATTTCCACTACACTGAAATCTGAACTTTCCCGAAATCTCTCGAAATTCAGGAGTATTTAGTTCCCATATGTTTTCATGTTTTCATGATTTCGATTTTTTTTATTTCAATTCTAAGACGAACGATTGTAAAAATACTATTAAAAAATCTAGCCGGATTATATTTCAGATTTTGAAAATTGAGATCATTTTTCTATAAAATTAGACACATTTCCGTAGATAATCCCAAGAATATTTTATTTTAAGCATATAAATATAAAAAATTATCGGCTTAAGCGCATAGGTAAGAAGAGCTTCTAGGTTTGTCGATCTGCCAAAGTAAATTAGAAACAACAACTCTGCTATAGTTTGGCATATATAGGTTAGATTAGGTTTAGCTAGCTTAGGCCACTAAGTTGTTCCACAGAGACCATTAAGATTCATACCGTTACCAGATAAACTACGACCAAATTAAACAGCTAATGAATAAGTATCAGGAGTAATGTCGAAGAACATCGCAGTCCTCTTGGTAAACTATAACACTTTATTGTACCCAATTTTTTCGGGAGCTTTCTGTTTTTTCGCTCCGTATGGGTATGCAAATACTATTAATTTATATTTATAATTTTTTTTTATAAAAATATAGTATAATCTTTAACAAAAACCCTATAAATCCAAGCTTGAATCTCTGTGCAACGTTTTAAAAAATCAACAAACTTTCTTGAAAATTTCGCACTTTTTACTTCGATTTTAAGAAATATTAAGCAGTTTTTTAGCCCATTCAATTTTACTGCAAGTTTAAAGTAACTTATTTTTGGTTTTTTTTTTTTGTTGACCATTTTATTCCATACAAAACATTTTCGATGATTTTTTTGTTATATGGAGCAAATGAGCAACACCTTCGACGAAAAAAATTAATGGTACTTGAAATTGGACTACAAAACTGCATACTCAAAAAGTTTCGAAAAAAATCGAATTCAAAAGCTCGAAATTTTTACAAAGTTTGTTGATTTCTTTTTTAATTGTGCACAAAGATGGAGACTTGGATTTATATGGTTTCTGTTAAAAAAATATGCTATGCTTTTAAAAAACTATACTTAAAATTAAACATTTTTAAAGCAAATGGTGAAATCTTGCCAATATGTGAGTGTCGTAAAGTTATGATAAGAACTATATGTATGCATGTCGAATCAAGCTTTTTGATACTACTTTTTATCGTTTTCCGCAATGAATGTAGAAAATTTTACATTCAACTGTGTAACCAGACATTCCTAGGGGGATAAAAGCAAAATGCGTAGAAAAAGCGTTTGCCGCGTTAGTTACCGATATCCCGAAGGAATTATACTATTTGGACAATGTCCTTGCTCGGAGAGCGGATAGATTAAATTTTCGGGCTAATTATCGGCATCTAGCGCTGAAGATTATTATCGAAAGGTAATATGTAGTTGAACTATTATTTCCATACATATGTATAAAATTAGGGAATATAATACGCTATCAGTTTGGAAGGAGAGTATAAAGTGTGGTCAGAACGATGAACAAATGGGGTAAGCGAAAAAATCAGCAGCAGAAGTTCTTTGTAACGCCTTGGGACGACGAATATGCTTTTCCATTGATTAACAAACTTCTCCGCATTCTGACTACACTTCTTGCTAGTAACGCTACCTCAGAAAGAAGTTACCCTTCGCTAATTAAAAACATGGTTCCATAGTACCATGAATGAAAAGAGACTGATAGGTCTAGCACTTTTACACGTACACTTAGTTAGGGCCAGTTTTTCAGTGCACTGTCGTGGTTTAAACTTGGTTTAAACGCCCGAGCTGGCTGCTATAAACTAAGGACCAATTTCAAATGCATATTTAAATGGCACTTAAGTTTAATTGTGGATTGTTAATTAAATGTCATTTAACTTTTGTTGGGTTTCAGATCAACTTTGTTTAAATATGCCAAACTAAGATTAAACTGCGCAAGCGCAAACTTTAGTTTGCAATTTAAATTATTATAATCAAAATTCCGAATAAGTTGTTAAGTTACTTAATTACATCCCTCATTTGATAGATATTAAAAGCAAAAAATAAGTATTTATGTAATATACACAAATATATACCTACTGCTTTAATAAACCCAGAGCATAAATATTTATCTTGTGCTTTTTTACAAAATAGTATAATTGTTTTATTACATGGACTTTGCGCCAAATTCACCACATGAAACTTACTTAAAGTAAAATTATAACACAAAACATTTTAATTCGGACTTCATGAAAATTACAAGAAATAAATGAGGATTCAAGCAGATTGCATGCTTGTAGGTCATATAGCTTCGATTGGTCACTCCGCTGTCTATCAAGTTAGATGCCTGTAATTTAACGTTATTCGACAAGTCGATTCATATCGCCCCTCCCCAAATAAAATCCTGAATCCGCCACTCTTTCCAACGAAGCACCATCTGCGGCAAGCCTGACAGCCTCCTCATAGTCCGTACATATGCAGCCTTAGGTCTAGAGAAATAAAATTAAATAAATATCGATTACAACCCCCACTCTTTTTAACAGGGACCGTAAATAGCAGTTATTTTTTTTTCAACAGTTAAACTTTTGTATGTCCGAAATAAAAGTCTTTCCGGATAATAAACCAACCGCTAGTCCAAATTAAAACAATTTGGTACCAAATGAAAGAGGACTTAAATAGTTTTTAAACAGAGATAACGAACGAAGGTTACCACTTCTATTTATATTTTTTTTTTTATGCATTAATACAAAAGAAATGCATATACCTGATCCAAGGTTTGTTCTATGGTAATTAAAAACATTTTTTATAGCAATATTTTTCAATAGCTGGCTTTCCTCCTTTAAACATATCAATTTTAAAGCTACTTTAGTTCTGCTTTAGTTGATGCCAAACTTGTTTAATTTGGATATGCGGTTTGTTTATTATTAGGAAAATACTTATATTTTCCACTTAAAAATATCTAGCCAAGTTTAACCATTGAAAAAAAGTAACTGTTTATGATCCCTGCCTTTTAACAATATTCATGAATTAAGTTGTTCTTGCACTACTATCGGACATTAAAAATTTCGGTCAAGATTGCCTAATTATAATTGATTCAAATTCTTTCTTTGCAGATACTAGTTTATACAACATCTGCGCACAGTGTACCGTCTTGCGGCTTATATGGAGCGCCACCATGCCAATTCGTACCAGCACCGCCGGGACAAACACCATCTTGTGCTCGACCGGGCAGAACCTACTGCGAACACGTGGACAATTATCCAACGTAAGTTAATCGCTCTATAATATCACCAATGGGCATCAAATCAAAATGAAACGATTAAAACGCGATAAGAAATACGACGGTGTAAATATATGGGTGGTATCAATATTATTCTGCATAAAAGCCCACATTCTTAATAACCTCTGTGAATCTAATAGGCAGTGATGCTAGTAAATTATCTTCGTTAGATTGTGAAATGTTTTCACACTAATTTTTTAAGGCTTGCGAAAAATTCCTATGTTAATATTGCTTAGGTCCGGCGACTGTGCAGTACATTTGAGAATTTGAACTCTAATATCATTGAGATAGTTTTAACCAGCTTTGGTATGTATTTGTTCATCATAAGTGCGGACAGTTTCTTCCATTACGTTCGGGGGCACCCTTGTTTTCGTTGACCACCCATGGGTACGGAGTCAAAGGATATTTTCACCGGATCGTCGCACAGTGTTTCGACTATATGGAGGCATGTAGAAAAAAAGTCATGGTGACAGTTGATAAAAAAAAACCGGTTGGGTTTAGAGAGGGAAAGGTTAAAGTCATAAAGAAAAATTGCCACATAATTTGCTCACCCCCCACTCCACGAACGGTACATTTCCAAAAAATACTGGAATCTAGTGATGGGCGAGTCCGCGATTTTTAAGTCGATTGTCTCGATTGTTAAAATATCTCGATTGTTCTCGATGTTTTCTCTCGTAGATGAATTGCCACTCCAAATAGTCGTGCTTAAGCTGAAGTAACATATTCGCTAACAATTTAGCGAATCACCTCGGCCTTGTATTTCAGTATTATAAATTTTTTAGCTGCAAGAAACTGCAGTTTTTACCTCCCTTTTATTAGCTCGGGATGTAACTATGTAATATTGATGCGCCTAAAAGAAACAGAAGTGTGATAAGCAGATGTGGTGCTTTCCGAAATAGTAGCTATAACTTCTACCGCTTAGACTCTATTTCTTTTTTCATTTTTCCTTATAACAAATAGTGCACTGAGAAAAGATTCAACTAATATACAAACATACAAATTTCTCTCCAAACAAGATTTGATAACTATCCATAACCAAATCATGTAACTGTAACCAATTAATGTTGACAGAAATATATATATACATATATGTATACTATAGTTGATATTACTAAACTCTTTTGTCAGTGCGGCATATAGGTAAGATAAATTCTTAACTTTTTTGCTTTCATTTTCATTCGAACGCCAATAAATTTTTATTGGGTTGGCAAATTAGAATTAGCTAATTAACAAAAGGCCAATAAAATTTCTTAATCTTCTAGCAAAACCACTTTAGACTTAATTTAGTTAGAGATGTTAAATATCGACGATACTATCGATATATTGATGGCTTGTGCTTTCTAAAGAATCAGACAGGTAGAACCACATCATAAATAACATAAAAACGACGTATTACATACTAACAAATATTTGTTTGTTTTTTCCAAGGCGAATTCACACAAGGTGGTGTTGCCAAATCTGCTGGATTCTCGCCGCGGTGGTCCTTAGCGCCAGTTTTTCATTGCAAGTTTCAACTTAGATCAAAGAACGTAGATAACAAGAGACAACTCGTTATAATTGTGGCGAAAGTGCGCAACAAGGGCGTGCCTTCTCTTTTCACCCAATCAAAAAACGCACTAGGGCAAAAGAGAAGGCACGTTGAACTTAATGACCAACACGGCTCGACTGAGCAATGGAAACTTTTCCGTTCCTCGAATTGTTAGATGCCTCATAAAATACCATAAAATTTTTTAGATTTTACATTCAAATTTCTATATTTTTCAGTATGTATTAATACTTCAATTTTATTAAATAAACGATTAAAAAATAGCGAAATTGTGTATGACCTCTTGTTTAGTTAACATAATATCTTATACGGAGCCAATTTTACTTTTTGATAATCGGTCCTGAATATTTCGTCCCTAATAGAAAGCCTGAAATTTCCGCACTGTACTCTGTAATGTAGCATGATACTGAACAAATTTTAGTATATGTATGTCGTCAAATGATATGCAAAGGTCTTAACAAAAAAAAAAACAAAATTTTCTAATTAATTGATTATGATACATTTCATCGAATTACAAGGCCCCACATCATTTTATGCAAAAATAAAATTTTGTTGGTTACGCCTTTTTATGTTTTAGGTGACGATATGGTTAGGAAAGCAACAAACAATTTTTTGGTGAGACAGTCTATGTGGATATGTATTTGCGGAGATATGAAATTTGTTTGTGCGGTGGTATGACGGAATGCCAGTTACACAACAGTTACCTTTTTGGCTTTTTTCCGTTTCGATATGTAAATATACAAAAGTACGTACGCGCATACATACATACATATATACACATATATCTTCAGAAAATACCTGTTTTCTTGTCCCAATCACCAAAAGTTAGACGGAACGGACCGTCTGCCGGTCACAAAACAATGAACTGATGGATTGTCTGCATCGTGATTTATTTAATTTTTATTGTTTTCGCTTGTTAGTCTCGCTCCCTTTTACCGTTCCCTACATTTCTGATGGCACGTGACTTGAATGAGATGAGATGAGAGCTGACTAGCTTTTGGCGCTGAGTTTTGAATGAATTTTACAGAGCCAGTTTTCAGCGTTTACGGAGCAAGTTTAACGCTACACCTTATTTTTGCCTTTTACAGCAATATTTTGAATACGTAGTCAGTGTATTAGGGATGTTAATTTTTCCGATTTTTACGATCTCGGAATTTTCGGGATGTGGTTATCACAATACCGGGATCTGGGGATTTGAAATTTCAAAGATATGATTAATTCCAAAAATTCAATGCAATGTTGAATAAAGATATAGGTAACAAATGAAATGAAATGAAGTTAAAAAATTAAATTTTTTGTATTCACAAGGACGAATAGGTAATTCTTTAAGCTGCTAAAGTTCGAGAGACGAAGGTTGAGGCTGTTATCGAGCTTAAATAAGTCCTTAAAGTAAAGGGACAGTATGTTTTGGCGGGTGGGTAACGTTCAGAGAGAATACCCCATATATAAAATTAAAACCTTTGTAAAACTTAACAAAATAAATGTTTTGGGTGAATAATTCTGGCCGTAAGCCATGGTATAAGAATTTTACTTACCAAGAGAAATTTCGAATTCTTTAAATGCTTTTACGAAGTTCGATCCGTTGTCCGTTATCGTATAAACAATTTGTCTGGCTAGTATGCTAAACTGCCTGTTTATATTGTTAATAAGTTCAGTTATCCGGTAGAAAGAATGAGTCCCTTTAAACCTCCAACAAGCTAAAGCTGCAGACTTTCTTGAGAAGTTTTCGGTGTCAAGCCAATGGCATGTCATGCCGAATAATGACCTTTTTCCACCTGACCAAATATCCGCTGTTGTACAGACATACTCCACTTTTGCTAGGGCACCCGATAAACTTTTTATGAACTCCGCGTAGCTGTCGGCTAATTGCCTAGTTATTGCACGCCCGCTGGAGACATTTTCTCCCGAAAATAATTTTAAAAAGCTCGGGTGTTCAATGATGGACAACGTTTAGCATGTGTCCGAAATGAAGTTTATTAGCACGTTGCGACTGAAAGAGGAGCCTCGTCCAACTTTTTTTGTATTTTCATTTTTCTTAGCTTCCTCGAAAGTTTTTGGATGATGTTTCCGCAGATGGTTTACGTAATTTGAGCTAACTCGCAAAGAACCCTTTACGTTCATTTGACAAATTTTGCAAACGGCAATTATTCCCAACATTCTCTTTTCATAAGAAGTTCTTGATCGCGATTAGTATTTAGTAAGTATTTTATATGCATTCAATTTTGAATTTACGATTCATTTAAAGCAGGGTCGGATCCAGAAAAAAATATTTTCAGAAAAAGTATACTTTGTATATTACATGATAGGAAAACGATTACGAACAAGTAAAAAAGTCTAAGCTCCGGAGGAGCCGAACATTAGATAGAAAGTTCAGTTAGACATAACGAGATAAACTAGGAATTAAATGACACTAATTTTAATGGCATAGTTAGACATTAAACAATATTCGTGTCATTATGTAAAAAAATAGTCGCTAAATTCATTTCCGCATGGTATTTTTTAAATTCCTCCAATTTTTTGTAAAACCCAAAACTTGATTGGAAATAAAATCTATGATAATTGCATTGTAAAATGCATTTATGTTAATAGAGGCTTTGAAGTATTAAAAACATGCTGTGAAATATTATTAGAGTTATTATTCCAAATAAAACAGATAGCTAAAATTTTAATATTACAACATTGGTATTACTATTATTACTTACATACATATCGTCGTTTAAAGTGCAAAACCGCGTAACTGACATTTGCTTCCAAAAATTGGATTTGCACACACAAGCTCTTGGCTCAATTCTTATCCATTCGTACTGAAATATACTTGCCAGAAATGCGAGTGCTTTATAAAAAAAAGATAACCATTTTGAAATATGAGTATTTTTACTATCTAGAAAATAATTTATGCAACTTTACATACGCGGTTTTGCATTTTGTTGATAAGCGGGTTTGTACTTCAAACGACGATATATTATTTATTGGAGATATTTTAATGTAAATAAAAACACCGGATGTGCCAAAAAGTTATTATTACATTTCATTACATAACACCCAAGCTATACAACTGTCCTTCAGTATTCTCCTATAGTAAAATTAGAGCAGAAATAAAATACATCTTTACATAAGTTTTTCTTTTTCATATTAGTATAAAGACGTGGGTTGAAACCCGCGGATAAAAACTAGTTTTTAATAAAAATGATTAGGTTTATATAATAAGGGCCATTTGCTCAAAGCCTGGTTGACACTAATCCTAATCTCCGGTTAACATCATTATTGACGTTTTCCACTCCATGCATATAACACGGTGTCGGTAACGTCGATGACCATGTTTAACCTGAGATTAGTGTCTACCAGGCTTTAAGAAAATGGCCCTAAATATTTAAGGGCCGTTTTCTAGACTGCCTTTAAAATTTATTTTGCCGTTAAATATTGTTGTCGACGTTATCGACTGCATGGGAGCCACAAATTTGACGCGCAATCAAAGCACAGGCAGTCAAGAAAACGGCCCTAACTCTATACAGAGAGTAAACTAAAGTAAAACATAGTCATAAATAATTTATTTAATTTTAAATATTAATGATTTTAGGCGTCTTGAAAATTTAAACTGATTAAGGGCCAGTTTTTCAATGTCTGGTTAACACTAACTACAGGTTAAACATCTTTATCGACGTTATCGGTTCCCTGTTATATGTTATGGAGTCGATAACGTTGATAACGATGTTTAACCAGACATTGTGAAACCAGCCCTAATTTCATTAAAAAATTAGGTACGTAAACTAATTGCGTATTAACTTTTAGTATTTGGTTTGTATACCAATTGACTTTAGCAGCTCATTCAATCTTCTAGGCATTGATTACACACGATCTTCTCCTATATCGAAAGGGATTTGGCCCCATATTTCAATTAGCTCCCTTTTATTCCTTGTTGGAAATGGGCTTCTACCTTATTTTTCGGCCAAGGCCACAGATGCTCCATAGGTGGGTGTTCACGAGCCCTAGCTGTTCAGTGCAAAACCCATTCTTTAAAAATGTTGGACCTATGCTTGGAATCGTTGTTTAGTCGATAGATCCTGTTTCTAGACACAATTTTTCCTCAAAACTTTTAAATAATCTATTTTATTCATTGTACATAGACTCAATGAAGACTAGATTACCGACTAAAGATGCAGCCATATAGACTCAGCCCATAATCGAGCCCCCGCCGTGTTTGATGGTGATTGTACAAACTTTTCGAGAAAATCTTAATTTTTTGCTCGCAATATTTTTAGAGGCTTTTTTATTCAAAATATTAGAAATTTACTCTCGTCGGTTAATAAGATGTTTTTCTAGAAGCCTGCGCATAGACTCATTTTGATACTTTTTTTCAAATTCCATATGCTTGATTCACTGTAGAAGTTTAAAACTTGAATTTTATGTTGTTAAATGTTGATTACATTAGTAATTACTAGTGAACCCGTATAGCGTTAAAACGCCAACATTGAATTTTAATTTATAAACAGATGCCAACCACGGTTGCCATTTCCAAATTATTTTTAGGACCAAAAAATGGACCAAATGGTAAAGAATTGACCAATTTTTATTACACCGGAAAACTGAGTGGAGTTTATTCCTCTTTATCGAGAAAATATGCCAATTTGGTACACATTGATCGAGCGGTTACCGAGATATACATATGTGGTTATAAGTGGGCGGGGTCACGCCCATTTCCCAACCTTTTATTATAAGCCTATTGTTTGCTAATTTGGGATGTGGGCGTGGTTATTATCCGATTTTTTTAATTCTAAGCCGTTTGGTATGTTTTGTGAAGGCCAACAACTGTGCCAAGTTTGGGAGAAATAGGTGGAGTGGTTCCCAAGATATACACATTTTCCAGAAAATTATAATACTCTTATTTGAGTGAATAAGCTCCAGTAGTTACTAAAATATCGCAGTTTTCGTATTTCTCAAAACTACCTTTATATGGGAGGTGGGCGTGGTTATCTTCCGATTTTGCTCATTTTCAATACCATCCGTCCAACGCTCAAACGAAGTACACATACCAAGTTTCGTTAAGATATCTCAATTTGTACTCGAGTTATCGTGTGCACAGACGGACGGACGGACAGACAGTCACCGCTTAAACGATTTCTCTTTTCATTCTGATCATTTATGTATATATTTGTCTATATCTATCTCGATTCGTTTTGCCTGTTACAAATAACCGTTATATGAAAAAATTTATAATACCCTTGTGCACAAATGCGCATCCGCGAATGTTAGCGCTTAAACATCCGCATCCGCATTCGCAACCGCATTCGAATCCGCGGATGTCTAAAATTCCACATTCGCAACATCCCTTAACAGATTACTGCATTTGAAATTAGTCGTTTGGGAGCTAGACAAAGTTTTTATATCCACAGCATACATATATAGAGGAGTTACAAATGTATATAAAAAAAATCATATCTAAGAAATCAGAGGTATGGAAGATATACATTATAAAGCACCAATCTAAGTGATTTTCACTGTTGTTTGGGATCGGTACGTAAAGCGGTAACACAGTTTAATGTGCTTAGCGGCCTAAATAAAGGAGTTATATCGCACAATCTTGTATTTGAACAATCAGTTGTATGGGAGCTATATGTTATAGTAAGCCGATCTTTGTTATTTTCACTGTAAGTGTTCTATTGATAATTAGTGAGTCATATCCCTTAGCTGTATAAATGGAGGAGTATCTTGTATTACGATTATTCAATTGGTTCCTGGGATATACGTGATTAAGTGAAACCACTACTTTTTAAAGCAGAATAACTCTAATTTGCAAATATCTCTAAAAGTTTTCCATAGAAAAAAATATCTCGATTTTCGGAATCATCGAGCAATTCTACAGAGGAATTCTATAGTGGCATCCATAGAACATTTTTGTTTTAAACCAGTCTTTTTAGGAATTTTTAGCTAGTACAGTACATAGTACATAAATTACAGCGATTACAAACTACAACATTTACATGCTTACTTACACCAAATAATGTTTCCTTATTGTTGAATCCTTTAACCCACAGTTACCTCATCAAACATCTCGTTCACAAATGGGGTTATGAGGCCAAAAACTTGCTCATCGATGAGTCTTGGGATGAATTCACGGCACTGACGTGGCACGAAACGCCCGTCTTCTACGATCCAGCTTTTATCTTCTCAAGTCATCGACCGTATAATGGCGGCGGCAATGCAGGACTTGGTAGCGGTGACGACTTTAATGGATACAAGTACGGTACTCCAGGTGGTAGTAGTGCGAATAGTGGGCGAAATACTGGCAGAGTCGGAGCGGGTGCTTCCAGCAATACTGAAAATACATTCATCATAACAAAATCGCAAACTACAGAAACTCCTACGTAAGTTTGATTAAAATCTCGAAGATTTTGAAAGGACTGTCGAAGAGATCTGCAGTGGAATTCTGACAATCGCTACGCTAAATAGTCGTCGCTAAAATTCTCTAAATGTATACAGCACGGAAGGGTAACACATGCGACACGTCGTCAGCCAAATCTGGCAGTGTGACGCGGATGCAACTAGTTGTTGCTCGTTGTTAGGAGCGCCTGCTATTATTTTGGAGATTTTTACCGATCAAAATTAGCGATAAGCGATAGTCAATAATGAAACCGGGCTGCTGGTATCCCATTCCCTAATTCTAAATTCGACTATGATTTCCATATAGATATATACATATAATTCTTTGCAGATTTCTGTTTTACACTTCCGCTGGCCAACGGCTCAATAAAAATCAAGTGAGCAGCTTTAATCTAGGCAGCAGCAGCGGAGCGCCCGGCAGCGCGAACAAAGTTTCGTCAAATAGCCCAGCGTTTTGGCTAAAACGCATTTCACGCAACGTTGACGGTATGGTGGGCGTAGAAGTGGGCGGGAATTTTACCGCAGCGTTGTCATCATTCGAACTAGAAGGGGCACCAGCCACCGTTAACCGTGCGAAACGCAGGTAGAATCATCTATGCAATAAACAATTTCTTGTTGAGTTTTTAACTTTGAATATTCTACTTTAGCATTACTTCATCATCTCAAACTAGTTCATCCTCATCGAAACTGTCTCGCGACGTTTCACTCAATATGGATCTCTTGGACATCGTCGGTGCCGACAAAGGCGCCAAAACGCGAACTAAACGACAAAGCCCCGGTAGGGAAACGCTCTGTAAAACCACCTCACAATTTATTACACCTCAAGCGGCCCTCAATAATAAAGGTGGGTTTCCAAACAGTGCGGCAATTTCAACAATTTCATTGTAGCAATAATTTGGTAACATTTTAGGGAACTGGATGTTTGTGGTAAATGAGCCAAGCACAGCGCGACAAATGGTGAAGGCAGAATTATGCGCGTAAGTTTACTATATAATAAAGCCATAATAAATACTATAAACACAAGGTGGCACATTTGCATGAGACAGAGAGAAATGAATGAAATATTGAACGAATGGTTTGTGTATGTACTAAAAGCATTAAAGCGGAAATGGGAATAGTTTTTAAACTGAATATATTTGTGTCCAGAAACATTTGCAAGTAAATCCAATTTCATATACGTACTATATGCATATGGCGAAGGCAATGCAAATGTATGTATGTATGCATGTATGTGTATATATCTAAAGATACTAACCCTGCGGAAAATCAAACTTGTTCAGAACTTGCGCGATCTAGCTGGAAATGGGACAGCAATTGTGAACTGTAACAATAACATTTTCACACCGCACTTATTGCGATATGAATTTTTGACTCTTCTATTCACGATAACGCAGAACGGGAATTGAACCCTTGGTCCATTTTGACAAATCTTTTTTTTTTAGAAAAAATTTCAACTTTCGGTTTTTTACAGTTTATTTTTTTTACACATTAAACGGAAAAAAATAAAGGCAGTAAGTCCACCTCTGTCATTGATGAAAAGAAACAAAGAAGAAAAAGAGCCCCACAAAGAGTTGATTACAAAGAAAGATCTTAAGCAGGGATTGCACGATTTGTACATTTGTAAATACTTAGTTATTTTGACAGTTATAGAACGTGGTTATTTGGGATTTTTTTATTGAGCTGAACTCATTCTCGATAAAAATGTCTAGACAACACCACTCTATGGTCGGTCAAACCAGATAATCGTTAATTTATGACATAAAAAATAAAGCTTAACTTACTTAGGTCAAACGGAATACCTTCATAGCCAAATGAATCGATACTTTAGAGCCGATATTTTTCAGGTATCGATAGTACTTCCAAGTAAAAGTATCGCTACCTGCATGGTATCGTTTCATCCATAACCATGATTCCTTAATAAAAGGTTTGATGATCTGGCAATTGTCTTGTTCACACAGCTCAGCTCCCTTAGCATATATGTATGTTGTAAATATTGTTGCTCTTTCCAAATTTTCCCAAAAAATAGTAGTTTACGGGTAAAATAGTATTCGTTTCTGTAAAAAAAATATATTTATTTATACAATATGTCTATAAAAAACACTTAACCCTTTCGACCCGTATGATACATATGTGTACCACTTAAAGTTTAAACATCCTTAAGAGATAAAAATTTAATGTGCATGGGTTGAGAAATGTACCTTATCGTCTGTAAGCTTTCCTGAATGCATTCTGTAAGGTTCCGTTAAATTATTGTTGATTTTTATGTTCACAACACTGTTATTTGTGAGTTGCGTCGCAGCCAAAATGATGTGCGTGGTTGGTTTTTACTTTATATTGAATGCTGAAGTGCCGAAAATATTTACAGAAAAGCAGAATTAAAGTTTTTACGAATATTTAAATTGTGGCAGAATATTAAAAAATATTGTTTTTATGTTAATTTTAGTTAATGGTATCTAAATATACAATTCGTCTGGTATGGTGGTACACATATGTACCAGTAGTCCGTTGAGTAGTAAATAATGTGATTCCCCGTTTGGATAGAAAACTGTTAGTTTTTCCAGAAAATGGATCCTGAATATACATATTCGATAAATTCTGAAAGATGAAGACTTTTCTGGAGGAAGCTCTGAAGAATTTGTAACAACTGGTGTCTCTAGTTCCAGCGATAACAAAGATTTAGCACATGACATAGTGAATGAGCTGAATGAGGCTGCCGAGGGAGTACTGGTCTGTAATTAACCAGCTAGCAATGACTTTATTCCCAAAAACCTGTCGCGTCGAATATCAATGCCATTTGGAGTACTCCTGACGAGGACTTCCGACATAAACAAACTCTTTATAATCCTCATAACTGCATAATAGCAGACCACATACCTCGCTATTCGTCTGTTATTGACTATTCCCACGATTACTTATATATATGTATATATAGCCCGATGTACAAACGAGCGTATTTAAATTTACTTAAGTTCGCTGTAAGGCATTCTTTGTTCGCTTCTCTGGAATCTGTTAAGCCATGCATTCTGCATTCGCTTCTTTATAAGGCGGTATCAATTCGTTTTTCATCAATCCATATTGTAAGGTGTTCTCCCTTAGCTCGATGGTAATGCTGCCGGTAAGCTCTTACGGCCAATGACATGTCCATGTTAAAATAATGCCTTCTTGAAGCGAAAATGTTAATTCAATTCCATTTTAATTTCTGTGGTAATCCCCTTTTTTTTGCTGGTAATGCAAGCAGTCTTCTTATTTTACTCGTTCGCCCTTTACTGCTCATTTAAAATGTATTAATATTTTTTGTTTGACCGTCTTTACTTTCTTTTCACATTCGTTTTTACAGCTCAAACACCTGCTCGAATCTGTGCCAATTGCCCAATGGTTATAACTCCAGATGCGAACAGAAATACGTGCAGAAGCGGCTGATTGCACTGCAGGCCAACGGTCAGAATCTATACACAGACTCATTTTGGTTTCCGAGCTGTTGCATTTGCACGATAGCTGCAAATTGAGCGAAGTGGGGCGATGGATGCAGCGGGTGGTTAGCGGTTGACTGGCGGCGGAACGGTAAAAAGCAATGTATTTAGAGCGTAAATTTATTTGCATTCATTTAACTCATTGTTATCGAGACTTTAAAGTAATTTATATTGAATTTATAAGCAAAACCAGATGTATGAAAAATCCACACTACATATGTATGTAGCATAAAATGTTTTTTATTAAAAAAAATTTGCAAAATCTTATCGCAAAGCGAAATAATGGTTTTTATATGGAGGAAAATGGACAAGACCGTAAATTATAAAATTATTAAAAACCAACGTTCTTGGTTGACGCTTTTCAGGAAATGTACAAATATACTTTTAAACATTTACATACTACTTCTAATAGTTTATTTCCAGCAAGCCTTAAATGCAGTTCATGCCTATTGGAAAAAGCAGATTACAACTCGAAGGGAGTAACTGCATATTAAGTACAAGTAGACGAAAGGAACAAAGCAGAAATTAATCGGCCCTATCGCGAATTTCACATGAAAAATATTCCCAAAAATTATAAAGCAAAACAATTTTTTTTTCAATTTTTTTTTGTTTTGCATGTATTAATTAATGTATTTATTAATTTTTATTTTTTGAGCAGATTGAATTTGATGGACGCGAGATGGATGCGAGCCCAAGATAT